GTTTTATCCATGCCAGCCTTAAAGACTTAATCATGCAATTTATATCAATCATTTTTAAACCACCTTCCTCGTATTTATTAATAGCCGAAACTCGAGTGACCTTATCCGTCCCATTCCATAAAAATTTGAATAACAGTTGATTCAATTCTTTCACTAATTCTTTAGGTGTAGGCGGTACCGAGCAGACATAAACAAACTTTGGAATAAGAAATGATTTGATGATTGTAACCTTGCCGTACACAGATAATCCTCTAGAGGACCAGATGTTGATAAGTTTTTTAATACTATCCAAACGTTCAATGAAGTTCTTTTTCTTTCTTACAAATTCTCTCAAAATCTGACTTTTTTGGAAATGTTCAGTTCTAGAAAATTTAATATCCATACTCCCCCCACAGAAGAGATTAGAATTTCCTGGGGGTGGGGGGTTCTGTAAGACCAAAATATTTAAAGAAATGTATGAAGCTCAATCAGAATTTCCAGAGGGGTGGGGGGACTTAGAAAAATTCCCTTCTGTGGGGGAGGTATGGATATTTTCTGGAACTACACAATGAAACAAAATCTATGCATAGCATAATGGAGATTATAGTTGAAATAATAAATCAAGGGGAAACATTCTAATAAAGTAATATGCTTGGGAGCCTTTACAATTTTTCAGATTAAGTCACATGGCCATGGGCGTGGCCTGTAACATTATCACTGGTGTTACTGATGATGGAAAAGTTAAAACACTTGAAATAACTCTGAACTAAGTAAAAATCACAAGGTTGAGAGAATTAATTTTCCTTAACAACGGCTTAAAAAGATCAGTTTCGTGGGCCCTTAAATGATGTGCCTAGTAAAATTTGAGTTTACAATTTACATCTTTTGCTGTGTCACGCAGCTGTGCTACACCTTGGTCTGTTAAACTTGAACTCCTAAACATGTGCAACCTAGTGAGTTTACAATTTACATCTTTTAGTGCATCACACAGGTGTGCTGCACCTCGGTCTGTCATATAAATACTCCAAAGCAATAAGTTAGTGAGTTTACAATTTACACTTTTTAGTGCATCACACAGCCGTACTACACCTTGCTCTGTTATATTGCCCCATGGAAGGTACAACGTAGTGAGTTTACAATTTCCATCTTTCAGTACACTACACAGGTGTGCTACATCTCGGTCTGTTAAATTGTCACCATAAAGGTCCAACTTAGTGAGTTTACAATTTGCATCTATTAGTGCATCACACAGGTTTTCTACACCTTGGTCTGTTATCTTGTCACCAGAAAACCTCAACGCCGTAAGTTTACAATTTTCATATTTTAGTACATCACACAAGTGTGCTACTTCTTGGTCTGTTATATTGTTCTCTCGAAGGTCCAGCTTAGTGAGTTTACAATTTCCATTTTTCAGTGCATCACACAGGTGTGCTACACCTCGGTCTGTTATATTGTTCGCTTGAAGGTACAACTTAGTGAGTTTACAATTTCAATCTTTCAGTACACTACACAGGTGTGCTACACCTTGGTCTGTTATAGTGTTGTCATCAAGGCCCAACTTTGTGAGTTTACAATTAACATCTTTCAGTGCACCACAAAGGTGTACTACACCTTGGTCTGTTATATTGTTAGCATGAAGATGCAACTTAGTGAGGTTACAATTGCCATCTTTCAGTACACCAGACAGGTGTTCTACACCTTGGTCTGTTATTTTGGTCTGGCTGAGGTCCAACTTAGCGAGTTTACAATTTCCATCGTTCAGTGCACCACACAGGTATGCCAAACCTTTGTCTGCTACATTGTTATAAGAAAGGTCCAACTCAGATGGTTCTTGTAGGTGTGTTATGAAATGCGCAATTGCTGTACAGTCAGCAGGTGTTACTTGACCAAGAGACAAATCTAAACTGTTGCTAAAGTTACTGTTCTTCTGCAGTTCAGAAGCTGCCTTCTTAAGGAGAGTTTCATTGTTACACTCGTGCAAACATTTCATCAAGAGTAAAGCATTCTGTTGTGCTTTATTTGTCTTCACTAGCATCTCTTCTGTCAAAATATCACAAAGAAGGCTCATGTAACTGTTACTGGATTTATGTTCCTGGCCACCAAGTAGACCTGCCACAAACTGAATCACAAGATGCCACTTTGGGTCTGAGACATTTGAAGTGATAAAATCACTGAAATCACTGGGCTTCATCTTTGCAACTTTTCTGGCTGCAAGCAGCTCCTGCAGTATCAAATGGATGAAACAGAAATGAGGCTCAAGTTTAAAAGGTGCAATCTGACGGTTTGGCATACGGTTAAACAAGCCACAGCCTTCAATTCCCTTGACTTCTGCTGATTCAAACACCAGTCGCCTTTCTTCTATCCCTGTTTTTGCCAGTGATTCTACTTGACTTAATGTTTTTTCAACAGAATCTGAGAAGCCAACATTTCCTGCAAGATAATCCTCTGTTAGCTGTTTGCCCTTGAATTCTGGGTGGCACTTGAAAATAAATAACCTCAATGCTCCATTGTAAATCTCTGTTGAAGTTGTGGGCAATGCACTTCCCGAATCAGTGTCTTGCAGTTTGATCAACTCTTTCAAAATGGAACAGACAATGAAACTGTTCACAGGAATGTAACACAAGGACAACAACTCTGTATTGCTACTGATATGCCCCCATACTCTATTCCTTGTCTTAATGTCACGAGCAAAAAAATTGTATACATATTCCTGAACCTTCTCTGGTGTAAATCCCATTATCTCCACTCTTCGGTCAAATTGCAGCCCTGCAAGACTCTGTACCACATTTGGCCTACAAGTTGTCAGAACTGTGGCTCCAGGAAGCTGTTTTCCTTTCATTAGTTTCATATACAGGGCAGAGAATGGCATCTCCTCTGTTGGACTATTTCCACCTTGTGCTCTCTCGTCATCCAAACAGTTCTCATGGTGCTTAAATTCATCTAGGCCATCAAAGATAAGTAGAACTTTCTCAGGGTGATCCAACAAGTCCTGCAAAACGTCATTGTCAATACTCCCTTCTGAAACTACACGACTCAATAGATGTTTGAGAGAAATATTCGTGGATGTCTCAGAATTGAACCATCTAAATTGGCACATGAACAAATGTTTGAAGCTTTGGTTACCGTCACGCAAGAGGTCACCCTTGCTCCAGTCACGCGACAATTTTTTACATAGCAACGATTTTCCGATGCCTGGGCGACCGATTATCAGAATTTTGCGAGGATCTTGCCATTTGGTATCTTCGTTAGGATGAAATAACTCGCCAAGTTTCCCTATAGGAATGGATCCACGTTGGGGCTTCAAATAGATCTCAAATATTTCGTGTCTTTTCGACAAGTCAGTAAATTCGTGTATCGCTCTTCCCGTGTAAATAACAAGATCNATTGGCTCGTTAGGCCATTTAATGCCAAACGGTTGTGCTTTGTTTCCTTTTGATGAACCAATCCACATACCCTCGGTTTTTGTGTTATTGATCTTGAGGCCTGAGATATTCTTAAAAAGGTCAAATACTTGAAATAGTACTTTGGCCGAGCATTGCTGTTGTGTCATCAGCGTATTGTAATAGTTTTGTCTCTTCCTTGCCAATAGAGATACCCTTTATAGCTGGATTTTGACGAATGGCAATTGCTAACGTTTCTACGGCTACAATGAAAAGATAAGGAGAAAGTGGATCTCCCTGTCTAACGCCTCGTTCAAGTTTGAAAGGTTTTGAAATCATGCCGTTGTTAATTATGCAGCTTTGTATGTTTTTGTAGAACAGTTTTACCCAGCAGTTGATGTGTTTACAACATTGATTTTGTGGAAATCATCCATGGACAGTATGTAAAAGGATTTCTGCTGAGTCAAAGTAGAAAAAAATGGACAATAGAAGAAGTTTTCTATTGGGAAATCCAGATATAATAGCAATATGTAAACATGTATTTAGAAAGTTATACAAAGTCTCAGCTTCTAAGGGGATGTGTTCATAATCTGGGTGGTCTCATAATCAGAAGATTGCTGTGTAAATACAGGGGTGAAATAGCCTATTAACAGCTGAAAATGAAATTCATTTATGGGGTTTTAACTGGGAGTTGTTATAACCCAGATTTTATTGTATTTTTGTCTTACAATAGCATATGCGTGTATTTTTAATTACCCTTTTTAATAATAATAATAATAATAATAATA